TCTTTCCCCATCGATGTGATGGAAATAGCAATAGGCTGCACATCAGGATTCCTGTAGAGAAGATAAATGAGTTGTTTATAGATCATTGCTATAGATGTTGCCTTTGCCTGGGAGAATCATTGAGAGGCTGTAGAAATTTGAGAGGATTTTTTTGTGTTTTTGTTTTTTGTTTTTTCTTAAACATTCCGAATTTGTTAAGGGCAGTGAGAAACCCACATAGCAGTCAGTGAATGCCAAGGTAAAGCCAACACTTAGTCAAGGACCAGCAAGCAAAACCCAGCATCCACCAGCCCTGTCACGGGAGTGAGAGCCTCCCCCAGACCTGGAGATGCCAGAGGAGAGCCACCTATTCAAGTGCCCAATCCCAGTTTGTGGTGTGGGCTTGTTGGAGGTATATGGTACAGTGAGGTGGAAAGTGCTAGGTGGAGAAATTTTCCACTCTAGGAGTTTGAACCCACTTAATCCTCTTGTGGTTCAGCAAAAACGTTCACTTCGGAACATAGAGTTAAGGCTCCTGAGAACCCCTCTGGAGTCCTTAATCCTGAAATTTGAGATACAGATTATACAAGGGCGTTGGCCAGAACTGAAAAATAAGCCTGGCCCTGAGGCAGCCCTAACAGGTCTGAGTGTTTGTCTTTATCCAGCAAATGCTGATTGTCAAGAGTCTCCCGTCTGCTTGAGTAGCAAGTAAGGTCTCGGTACTGCAGCAGACAGATGCCTTAGCCAGGTGACTGGTGCCCAGTCAGTGCCTGGAGGCTGTGGTGCCTCGGTGTACCTACTGCTGCTGCCAACCTAACAGAGCCCCCCCTTCCAGGGAAGGCGTTCGGCTGTGTCGGAGGGTACATTGCCAGCACAAGTTTGCTGATCGACACCGTGCGCTCCTACGCTGCCGGCTTTATTTTTACCACCTCCCTGCCTCCCATGCTGCTGGCTGGAGCCCTGGAGTCTGTTCGGATCCTGAAGAGTGCCGAGGGCCGCGCCCTTCGCCGCCAGCACCAGCGCAATGTCAAGCTCATGAGACAGATGCTAATGGACGCTGGCCTCCCGGTCATCCACTGCCCCAGCCATATCATCCCCGTGCGGGTGAGTAATGGCCTGTCTGGGTTTGGACTCCACATGATGTGACAGTTCTGGTGCCAACTTCCTGAAGCTGGGCCTCGGCGGGGTAATTGCTAGGGCTGGGACCGCAGCCGGTGGCCTCTGCCACGTCTCTGTCTTCAGCAGGCTGGAGCACAGCTTCCCTCTCCAGAGCACTGACCTTAACGGGGTAAACACAGGACGTGTGTCTGCAAAGTTTTAGAAGCCTAAGCACGGGCAGCTTTGAAGTGTGACTTTCCACTTAGTGAATTTCAAAGTAGACCCTGCAAATCATATCTACAAATCATATCTCTGTTGATGTCACTGTTAATGTAAGAAAACAGCTAGTATAACTAGAGCTGGGGAGTCCCTCCTGGGATCAGGGTTTGCTTGTGTGGGAAAAAAAAAAAAAAGCACCTCCTTGACCATGCATGGCCTGAGAGGACAGGCATGTGACATTTCAGTGTTGCGGTCCACCCTGCAGATGCCAGCTCCCTTACATTACAGGTGTGCAGGCAGGGCTGCCCGTCTCCTCAGGCTTGCACACCGACTCCAGTCCGGCCCTGAGCCTAATCCTCATTCCCGGACACTGTGTTCTTGACGGTCTCTGCCACACTGGCATGTCTCACTCTGACCCTGCTCTGCTGTGATGGCACTTAGGTCGCCGATGCTGCTAAAAACACGGAAATCTGTGACGAACTGATGAGCAGGCACAACATCTACGTCCAAGCCATCAACTACCCAACGGTGCCACGCGGGGAGGAGCTCCTGCGGATTGCCCCCACCCCGCACCACACACCGCAGATGATGAACTTCTTCCTCGGTGAGTTGGTGCAGGGCTTCAGGGGAATCTCTCACCTCACTGTAACCGCACCTCCAGTGAGCTGCGGGAAGCCTGCACAAGGCTCTGGCAGTATTTACCCCAGTTCTTCAGGCGCACATTGGTTTCTTCCTGTCCCGAGTAGCTAAGCATGACACAACTCTAAAATTAGACAGTAGCGACTCACTTGACAGTGTGCACGATCTGTTGGGACGCTCTCAGGAAGCCCGCCCCGCCCCGCATGCCCTCTCTCCCATCATGTGGATGCAGGGGTGTGGCTGTTGAGGGGACTAGAGGCCTCTGACAGCACAAGTCTGCCCTGGCCTCTAGAATCCAGCTCGCATTTCTTCGCACTCTCCCCTTCCTGACATCAGGTCCTTGAACTAACTCATTCTGGTGGCTCTGGGCTGCTCCCCGCCCGCCATGTCCACTCCAAAGGTGGAGACTGAGGGGGCTTTTAGCTCCAGGTTATCATTGCCTCCCAAGTCGGCGTAACTTCCAAGGACAGACTTTCTGTTCTAGATGCTCAGAGGACTTTTGTATGGTTTTGGTGCTGGGGTTGAACTCAGGGTCTTGGCGTGCTGAGCAGGCACCCCACCCCTGAGAGCCGCTTCCCCAGACCCCTGAGGTACTCAGGTTAGTGTACACACAGCAGCAGCTTCCTGAAGCTGGTTTGTGAAGAAAGACCCAACTCTGGGTTGTGTTTTTCTGTTTTTAGTCTTAGGACTGTGTCACTGAGATGAACTCACATACCATAAATTTTACCTTCTTAAAATACAGTACTAAAGGTTTTTGGATACATTCACAGTGTTGAGAAGCCTTTACCTCTGCCTCTAGAACATTTTCATCACTCGAGGATGAAGCTACACACTCACTCGCATTTGCTTCCCTTCTACCCAGTCTCCCCACCCCTGACTGCCCTTCCCTCTGGACACTGGGTGTAAGTGGGACCATGTGAATGATACATGGTCCTTTAGGCTGACTGCCCATAGCCAGTAGCCAGTGTTTAGAGTTTTGTTCATTTTGTAGCACTAATCAGTACTGCTTAATTTATTTACTTACTTATATCTAAGGCAGAGTCTAGTTGTGTCTGCGGCCTGGGCTGGCCCAGAGCTCACAGATCTCCTCTCTCACTCTTGTGAGTGCTGGCTCTGTTCTCGTCATTGCCCTGTATTAGTCCGTGTGTGGATTTGCCTCATTCACGTATGCATCAGTGCATGAACACCGGAATGCTCCCACTGTTGAAGTCTCAGGAATGGGGCTGCTGTGAGCACTGGGGTGCAGGTTTCTGTGTGGGTATTTTGAGCAGAAGGTTCCAATGGTGCTCAAGAACTGTCTTTCTCCACAGAGAAGCTGCTGGTCACGTGGAAGCGAGTAGGGCTGGACCTGAAGCCCCATTCGTCAGCAGAATGCAACTTCTGCAGGAGGCCCTTGCACTTCGAAGTGATGAGTGAAAGAGAAAAAGCCTACTTCTCAGGCATGAGCAAGATGGTGTCTGCCCAGGCCTGACTGTGACTCCAGTGACTCACCTAACCCCAGGCCATTACCGTATCCAAATAGTAGCCAGAATTGTCTTTATATGTGAAATAAATTATATATTAAATCTTAATCTATAGTAAAATCATAGTCCAGAAAAGAAGTTCTTGTGTGCTAGGTCTTTCTGCTGCGGACTACTAAATGGAGACATAACTGTCATCTGGCCTGTACTGTAGCTGTATGAACTGATGTCTGCAGGGTCTTCTGCTCTGCTCGGATCCGACCAGCACAGGCCTAAGCCTGGAGGTAGACCAGATGGCACCCCAGGAACTGCAAGCAGCGATACCACCTGCGGCTGGTTTCCCTTGGCACTTCCCGCCTCAGACCTAGAAGGGGGTCAGTGGACCCACAGCCTTGTCACAGCTCTGTCCTTCCTGCTCCTCTCAGCCACTGCCTCCACCTCACACTTCCCCCGAAAGTCAAGCCTGAAGCAGGCCCAGCTACGCTTACCAAGCCTGCAGCCTGCCAGCTCCCCGACCCCTGGCCGTGTCCTTTGCAGAGAATGTGGGGGGCTCTGTGCCCCCCTCCACCCTCTGCATTTGCATTTGGGTCTTGCTGCTTCCTGCACATTCTGAAGCCCCTTGTCTTGTCCTCAGTTTCTCCCCCTCTGCTGACCCTTTATCCCACAGACCGGCAGCAGGCCTCACCTCTCTGAGCAA